TTGCCCTCGCGCTCTTACCCACAGAGGTATTAAATTGAATATAGGGGATGAATTGGTCCTTCAAAGTGTCTGCAAAGCAATTCGGCCGACGGAAAGTTTCTGGGAGTATTGGCGACTTATTTTTAAGGATATTGCCTAAAATATCAGAAAATACGTGAAGTAGGTAATGATTTTATGTACCTCGAGTACCTGATATCTGAAAATTGGCCGTCTAAGCAAGGTAGCAGGTAGGCATGCGTTCTTAGAACATACTAACACTACGCAATCGGCCACATTTCGTTCGTCAGAAAATACGTGACGTCTGGGGGCCCTGGGATCTTGGACTACTATGAGTTCTCACATTTCCCGTTATTTTTGTGGATGGGTTCATCTGGAAAAAATATGTATTACCACTTTCGAAATAAGATATAGCTTAGAGCAACTTAACATTACTTAATGGAACAGAGCGTACGTTTCTCTCGTGGTGACTTCACAGAGAGAGAGAGAGAGACTTCAATGAAAATGAAATTAACCGTTTTTTGCATTAGAGATAAATGTTAAGGTATAGAGGGAGGTAAGTCCAGGCTGAGGGAGCGAAGATATGAATCTGACGGCGTTAACGATATTTATGTTATATAGCACGTGCAATAGGAGTGACTCACACAAGCCAGGCGCGCCGGCCGTGTCGTTCCACTCGTAAACAACAGCTGCAACAGAAGTGACTCATAAGCCAGCTGCGCCGGCTAGTATAAAAAGGCGGAACGTGCCTTGAAATGAACATTCGTTGGACTGCGCTTGCCTGGTGCACTTACTATATCCTTGTTACGTTGTGTGATTCAGTGACTGTTGTACGTACTGGTTAAAGTTGGACAAGTGTTAAAGTGAATTGTTAAGATAACATATTGTTGATTAAATCAGGAATCAAAGTGACATCGTTTTACTTGGTGTTCAACAAGATAATGTCTACCCTCAAGCTTACATCAGAAGTGAGATCAGGACTCTACTCTCACTGGCGTGACGTGTTTGAACATGTTCGAAGTACAGCAAAAAAAACATGATGCAGATCAGAATACTAGTAGTGGTACGCCACAAGAGCGTGAATGCAGCATACGTAAGTCGTGTAATAACGTCTCTGTTACCTCGATGGAAGATCTGAGCCACGAAGAAATCGTCACATCTTACGTTCTGGCTCATGTTGCCCAGTTTGACTGTCGACTTCATCACATGGCATTTACTAACGGAAATACAACACGTAACAAGCTATTGCAAGAAATTAAGGCAAGTGCAAATCTCAAGTGAAACTTCGATCGCAATAATGGATCTGTCATGACGAGTGGGTAGTTCCGACACGAATCGTTTTTAAGCCAATGACTACTGCTAGAGTTACATGGCACTAGTACAGTAAACCAGGACATGAGACTGTGAATTGTCGCTGAAATTTTAGAATCTACTCGATTCAATACCAATAACACTACACGTTCGATGACTTCGGGCTCCAGCAAGCAAGCAACAAGTTTCCGTGGGGAAGAAAAATTGACACATCTGAAGTCGTCGTGACCTGTAAGATAAGACGTCCGGTGCGTTCGTGTCTGGCGATGCGGCGGTGTTCGGGTTCCGCTGGCGGATGCAGGTTTTTCCGGTGAAGTGCGTGCTTGTGCGTGCTTGACAAGTGTTCGCGGTTGGCTTCCTCAGTGTGGGAGTAACATCGTGTAAGAGAGGTGGAACCCGTAAAATTGTAGTTTGCGTGGTGGCTGGTAAGATTTGTTGCGGTAAGAAGTTTGCATGGTGGTAAAATGTCTTGTGAGTCTGCACAGGTAGCCGGAGGTGAGACTTCCGCGGTCGCGGCCCACCCAGTCCGCGAGAACCGGGCAGATCGCCTCGACGGTACGGAGGCCGGCCGACGGGTCCGCCAAACGACGAGACCACGCCTCCAGCACGGACTGCCGATATTGGAGCCCCCGCGCTCCGGCTGCACTTGCGCTAGGGCGCGCCGCCTCGTAGGAGACTGTGAGGTATCATTGAATAACTGCGATCGCGCGCTGCCGGCGTCGCAGCGCGGCGACGTTCTCATGGGTAAGGACGTGGCACCAGACGGGTGCTCCGTATAGTGCCATCGACCGCACGGGTACCATCACCCTGCCTATTTCTGCCGTGAAGCAGTGGTGTATTTCGGTTTGAAGGGTGGGGCAGCGGTTGTAACTATACTGAGACCTTAGAACTTCTATCTCAAGGTGTGTGGTGCGTTTACGCTGTGGATGTCTATGGGTTCCAGTAACCACTTAACACAAGGTGGGCTGTGAGCTCGTCCACACATTAATACGAAGAGCATAATCAAACGAAATTAGATACGAAGTTTAAAGGGCCGTTTAAAGTAGTTGAAGTATTGGATGGTGTCGATTTAATTTTGACTCTCACACATTCGCTTAAGGCTCGAGCTACTACTTGCCTCACAAAAATACAGCCTGCAAAACCTGAACAACCTCCTCATCCGTGGGCGCCCGGCTCTCGCCTGCAAGTCGGCTGTTACGTGTGCGGTGATGCGAGCCATGTAGCTTCTGGGTGTTCCATGCGCTACAAGAAGAAAAACGACACTGCTCCAGGTGCTGTGGCAGGTCCAACCAGAGACGTCAACGTGTGTTCCAGAGCTTCAGTGTGTTACAGATAAGTGGTTTTGGCTTCCCCTTTATGTTCCATTCAGGGTCAGAATGTAGTCTTATAAAACAAAGTCATAGTAATTTATTCAATGGTAAGCGGTTTCATGAACAAGTCACTCTTTGATCTGAAAGTAACTTAGACCAATCATGATGGCAAGAGTACTTAGGGGATATTCAACTCGCCCTAACAATTCCGGTCTAAGTTAAAAGGGACATACTTACATACCTGAAGAGTTTTAAATGAACTGGCCCAGGTATGTAAGCAGTCTGAAGGTTATTTATAGCCAGTATAGGATTTTCTGAAGAATTATGCGAACCGAACCGTACTAGATTGTTAATATCATAGACCACGTTTTAAGTTGCATCCGTTAATGTCAGGATGAACGAACACGTTTGTTGTTCACAGACATACCATAAGAATGCGCGCACGAGGACGAGCGCACGCCAGTATGGCCGTGACGGCGTTAACGATATTTATGTTATATAGCACGTGCAATAGGAGTGACTCACACAAGCCAGGCGCGCCGGCCGTGTCGTTCCACTCGTAAACAACAGCTGCAACAGAAGTGACTCATAAGCCAGCTGCGCCGGCTAGTATAAAAAGGCGGAACGTGCCTTGAAATGAACATTCGTTGGACTGCGCTTGCCTGGTGCACTTACTATATCCTTGTTACGTTGTGTGATTCAGTGACTGTTGTACGTACTGGTTAAAGTTGGACAAGTGTTAAAGTGAATTGTTAAGATAACATATTGTTGATTAAATCAGGAATCTCAAGTGACATCGTTTTACTTGGTGTTCAACAAAATAATGTCTACCCTCAAGCTTACAAATCTTAAATCATACACAGTGACTTCGAACAGTTGATAGTGACTTCTTAAAGCTTATGCGGAGCTTAAAAATAGCTGTTATTTTAGAATTTCACGGAGATAACTCAATTGTGTTTATTTTTGTAAATAATTTAATCTATGTCAGTGAAAGCTCCGTACAATAAGTGAGCTTCATTCACCCCGACTAGTGGGCGAGGCGACGAGGCTCAGCCTGATAGAATAATTAAAAGTAGCCCCTTGTTTTTGTACAGGAGAAAATCATTGGATTTGGTGATTTGTGGGAGTTGAACTTCATCAAAAACTTCTGCCCTCGTGTGTCCGTCTTAAAGGAAGTCAAAAAATGTACTGCCTGCCGCTAATCACGTAGGCCCTCGTTCCATTTCTCTCTTTATTTTTGAATTCTTGTCAAGTGTCTGTCTTAGTCTGTGTCTATGTCTAGTCGCTGTAGGTCTTATTTCCTGTCAAAGATGTTGCACGCCACGACAGAGGCCCACTGAGAACATAGGATGAGAAACTCAGTAGTTTGTATCTATGGGTTAAATTGCACTTCGAGTTCTTCATGGTATTCCAATGGGCCAGGGATTCCAAGCCATTGGATATTGATTATTTAAACGTGATTAAAACTTAAAGCACATCAACTTCTAGATGGGCCTTGTTTATCCAGAGTGGATTTATATAAATATTTTTTGCCACGTACTGCCTATCCGTCCCTGCAATGAACTGTCTCCTCCACCGTGTTCTCTGACGACTCTGAAATGTTTGTCTTCAAAAGAAGCTCGATTAGACTCCTCCAGACCCTGGCATTACAAATGTCCATGAGAGACGGTGGACAACTGCTATCGCCGGCTGGAAGTTCACCGAGATAATAAATACCAAAATATAATTTTTGGTCTTTATTATCTCGTTAGGATTTTTTTTTAAGTAAAATTATATTAATATTTCGTTGCGCTCTGATTACAGCGCGCACCAAACGGTCGTAAATTAAAACACACAAACATAAATTACTGTGTAAAGTTATTTAATTTTTATATTTAATTTTTAATTTGTTGAGACCACGGCCCGTTCTGAGTCATTCAAGTCGTCATGGCCTAAAGGATAAGACGTGCGGTGCATTCGTGTGTAGCCATGTACCGGTGTTCGAATCCCGCAGGCGGGTACCAGTTCTTCTAATCCAAATCCAAATCCAAATTTTTTTATTCAACATAAATGAAAGTACATACTTGTTGAAAGTCAAAAGAACTACCGCCAATTCACAAGAACTAGCCTCCGTCCTGAGAAGAATTGGCAAGAAACTCGGCGGGCATGACTTTTTTTATATATTTTTTTGTTTTTAATATTAGATTTTTTTTAAATATTCATTTTTACAATGAGTATTATAACGTAACAATTATTACAATATTGAAATGCCCGGAGCGAGCAACTCATTCCCACTTTGTGCAATCTTCTAGATAATCATTGACTTTATAGTAAGCTTTATTGCACAGATGTTCTTTAATAGTTTTCTTAAACCTATGTATATGTAGGTTCTGAACATCTTGTGGGATTTTGTTGTACAGGCGCACAGACAAACACTTGAATGAATTTCGTATCTTATGTAACCTACTCATCGGCACAACAAGCTTGTGTTTGTTCCTAGTATTTCTATTATGTATGTCCGACTTTTTAGGAAACTCCTCAATATGTTTACGAACATACATTAAATTTTCAAAGATGTACTGGAATGGCATAGTGTGAACTTTAATTTCTTTAAATTTTTCCCTCAGGGTTTCCCTTGAGTGCATGTTATAAATAGCACGTATAGCTCTTTTCTTCAGAATAAATATCATTTCTACATCGGCCGCATTGCCCCATAGCAAAATGTCATAGGACATGACACTGTGGAAGTAACTAAAGTAAACTAAACGAGCCGTGTCCGCATTTGTTAACATTCTAATTTTTTTTACTGCGTATGCTGCAGAGCTGAGCTTACTCGCCAATTTATGAATATGAGGTCCCCACTGCAGTAATGAAATACGTATTTGACAAAGTTTCACAATTGACTTTCACGGTGAAGGAATAACATCGTGTAATGAAAATCAAACCCGCAAAATTATAATTTGCGTAATTACTACCCCGCCTATTTCTGCCGTGAAGCAGTAATGCATTCGGTTTGAAGAGTGGGGCCGCCGTTGTACCTATACGGAGATCATAGAACTCGTATCTCAAGATGGGTGGTGGCATTTACGTTATAGATATCTATGGGTTCCGGTAACCACTGAATATCACTCGTGAGCTCGTCCACCCATCAATGCAATAAAAAAAAAGACCTAGCTCGCTTTCTCCCTCTCTCCATTGTCGAGTGATTCGCGAGACGCTCTGTCTATTTTCTCACTCTCACTTTTCCTAAGTTGTATCTTTTCTCTCTAGCCGTAACGAATCTGTTACGAGTTACATTTTACTCTCAACGCGCATAAAGAAGATTCACTTTAAAAATTACTGTCGGGAACCAAATGTTTTATTTTCATAATCATTCTTTCCTATTACCCTCTGCTGGGGTGTAGGGCTCGAATAAAATTTTTCCATTTACATCGGTCTTGGGCAGTCTGTTCTAGCTCCTCCCACGTCATGCCCAAGACCCCTAGCTCCTGCTCCACCAATCGACGCCAAGTTGTTCTGTGGCGGCCTCTCTTCCTCTTGCCAGACAGAATGTTTTATTTTATTATATTCTAAATAACAAACAATTAAATTTGTATGTAAATTCGTAATCGTTCATTCAAAGACATCAAAATTGTGATTTAAGAGGAAACCAATGACTTAAAACACAATTAATATTCACTCGCGTATCTCTCGTCAATCTAGTTATTATAAGATCAATATATTAACCTAGCTGGCCCTCGGAGTGTCGCAAGTTCGAAAATTTTACGTGTTACGTTATCATCGATAATTTGTGTTGTAATTTCACCCCTGTGGATGTTTATTCATTGAAATATCCGAAGGCTGTGTGATTTCTTTGACCATTGTGCATTGCGTCACGAGGCCTCACTCTCGTGTATTTATTGGTGAACTAAACCGTAACAGTATCACTGATCTACCGTTTGACCCAGTGCAAAGAACTGCTCCCTCATACAACATGAAATTCTTTGTAAGTAATTTTAGTTGAGATTCCGGCTTAAACTTGCAATTGTTTAAATTGTTTTGGGATTTGCGACGTTTCAAGTACTTTATTTTATAGTTGAAATGGCCAATGGCAAACCGCTGGAAAAATATTTTCATTCGGGATGAAGATCGCATGCCAGATTCTCTAACTAACTAAGCAGGAATAAATAATAGCTTAGGGGGTGCTTTTCAGGATATTATCAAAATACCCCTTCTACTCATATCTGTTCATAAAATATTTATAACTACTGATATCATGCACCCCACGCTTTTTTTTACAATAATATGATTTTTTCTTCACTATTTTTTATTCAAATGTATTAAAATTTATTTTCTATTTAGTTATTTAGTTGAGTTTTCTATAAATGCGTTTTTTTTTGTTTTTTTAAACTATTATTTATTTTTCATTTTTTAGTTGAATTTCAATTTTTCAATATTTTTTTATTATTGTTTTGTTTTAATTTTGAATTGTCATCGGTCCTTTATATGTATACCAAATTTCTAGTTAATCCGACGTTTTGAAGGGGGTCAAAATCATGTTCAAAGATTCCGTTACTAACATACATACGTCTGAAGCTAATAAGAGCGTATTAAAAAGAAATGAAATCGTGCAAAACTAACCGTCGAAATATTAAAGGGTGTATTATCTCATTTGCAGGTAGTCCTGTTCGCTTTAGTGACCATCGCGTCTGCCGCCAGCATCCGTGAGAAGCGTTGGACTGGGTTGCTCGGCGGATACAGTGATATTGGTTTCGGCGGATACAGCGGCTACTCCGCCCCCGCTGTGGTCTCCGTCAACAAGGTTGTGAACGTCCCCAGGGTGGTCAGCGTACCTCAAGTGGTCCACGTCAACAGAGTGGTGTCCCAGCCCCAGGTCATCTCCAGCCCTACTATTATCGGCGGATACAGCGGATACGGAAATGGATGGTGGTGAACACCTTAATTAATGAAAATGGTTTTTTAGGGGTTTAAATAAATATTATTTTGTTTAATATTTATTTGTTTTAATTAACATAATTTTTGTTTTTAATTAGTTTGGCTATTAACAAATATGTAGATTGGAATTCCTGGATTATTTTTTCCATAATTCCAACCGGTAGGCAATCTCAAACTTAGAGGTGTGAAGAATCGATGATGGTACCGGATTTTATCAAGGTGGGTGGCGCATTTACGTTGTAGATGTCTATGGGCTCCGCAGTAACCACTTAACACCAGGTGGGCTTTGAGCTCGTCCACCCACCTAAGCAATAAAAAAAAGTTAGCATAAGGTAGTGATTTTCCCTTACCTTCTGCACCGAAGTTTTTCTTTTAGTCAGTTGTTATTTAGACTCCGCGGTCCATATAACGACACTTGCAGGGCAGTCTGTGTACTTATAAGTAGCTACCGAAATGGAAGGTTATTTAAAGTATTACGGGATACGATCTGCCGACACGAAGAACACGTACAAGAAGAATATGAATATTCTGAATAGTGACAGTTTGAGGGTGATATTGCTCGGTAGACCGACGGACCGAGTGTTGTTGTCGGAACTTGTATAGATTCAAGCTTGTCTTGAAAATGTCGTGGGGGAGATTCAGGCATTTGTCAAATATCTTGTAGCTATTTGCCACAACAGCATGATTTAAATTGACTGCGAATAGTTTTTTATTATTTTACTCGCTTTTTTTTGTTTCTAAACCATTTGGCCTTTTTGTGGGGCTGGTTTAGACAGTGCAAACTTCTTAACACTTTTTCTTAAGGTGGGGCGGCTCATGGCGTCCATTTATGGTTCCCGGTAACAAGTTGTTACTACTCATTTCGTAAGTACCGGTAACCCTCCTATAACACGTTAGATACGTTACCTGTAATTATAACTATACCTGTATGTATTATGTTCTCTATAACAAATAATAATAAGCAGTAAAATTTCGGTTATTCCCACACATTGTGTGTTCGTAGTGTAGGTATAGGTATAATGTAATTTTCTAAATAATTTCCAACAAAAATCTCGTTATCGTGTTGCAGAAGTACCGTTTTATAAAAGGGTTTTGGGGATTTTTTCATTCAGTGCTAGTGTGGAACCGTGTTGCACAATACCGTGTTAAAGGTGGGTGGGTTACTTACTTGTATAATATTTTAGTCATCCGCGACCGCAAACGTTCGTAATTGTTCGTAAACGTTCGTAATTGTTGTAAAATCAAATCAAATAAAAAAAAAATATTCAACATAAATGAAAGTACATACTTGTTGAACGTCAAAAGAACTACCGCCCATTCACAAGAACTAGCCTCCGTCCTGAGAAGAACTGGCAAGAAACTCAGCAGGCATGTCTTTTTTTTTAAATATTAGTTTTTTTTAATGTTATATTTTATTTATATATGAACATATTATCATATTAAAGTAAAGATTAGCGAGCGAGATTAAACTAAAACGTTTTTTTTATTATTCAAATGAATAGTCTATCAAGAGGAGTGCCTAATTTGCATTGAACTTTGAATGAAAAAACACTTTGATTTTGCAAATTTTGACGCCAAATTTTAAGGTTAAACTCATTTAATGCAAAATATTTTGTGCGATTTTGTTTTAAAAGTTTGGAACGTACATCGATACATTTGCACATGTAAAGCGAGCAAGGATAGCGGATCTTAACAACATCGAACTAATTGAGGACGTGTGAAGCCAGCCCAGCCTGGTAGTGCCGTTCTATTTAATGTTCTCAACTAATAAAACCTAGATAACAAAGTTTTTTTTTGTTTCGATGTGTCGATGAGCTCATGGCCCAGCTGGTGTTAAGTAGTTACCGCAGCCCATAGACATTGCGATCTGCTCTCAACACCTGCGGATCGTTGAGTCTCACATTCCTATTTCCGCCGTGAAGCAGTAATGCGTTTCGGTTCGAAGGGTGGGGTAGCCGTTGTAACTATAGTGAGACCTTAGAACTTATATCTCAAGATGGGTGGCGCATTTACGTTGTAGATGTCTATGGGCTCCAGTAACCACTTAACATCAGGTGGGCTGTGAGCTCGTCCATCCATCTAAGCAATAAAAAAAAATACCCCGCGGGCCCCCTAGGCGCGGGGACCTAGTAGGAGGTTCGGCCCCGGCCCGAAAAAAAAAAGCCCATAGACAACTATAACATAAATGCGACCACCCACCTTCTAAGTCTCAGTTTTAACAGTACAACGGTTGCCCCACCCTTCAAACCAAAACGCATTACTGCTTCACGGCAAAAATAGGCAGGGTGGTGGTACCTACCCGTGCAGACTCACAAGACGTCCTACCACCAGTATTAACGCATATATAATTTTGCGGGTTTCATATTTATTACACGATGTTATTCCTTCACCGTTCATAATAGAAGCAGTCACACAACTCAGCTTAGTCTTAGCTGTGTGTACAGAGTAATGCTGCATTGCAGGCGACTTGGTTTAGAAACGCTCATTACGCATTTGACAGCTAACGGTTACTCCACATCGTCACATGATACAGTTCGAGATACAATTTCCTTACGATAGGAATGAGGTGTAAGTATAAGGCATATGATGTAACTAGTAATATGAAACTTTTCAACTATTTGTAACTGAGTAATTGTAGTAAGTATATATTTCTGGACGAGGCACAGCGCGGCGACCGATGCGGTCTATGGTGGATACGTTGAAGTCTGCCAATCCATCGCGTGGGCGACTTTTCTTTTTATTGCATAGATGGGTGGACGAGTTCACAGCCCACCTGGTGTTAAGTGGTTAGCGGAGCCCATAGACAACGTAAATGCCGCCACCCACTTTAAGATATAAATTCTAAGGTCTCAGTATAGTTACAACGGCTACCCCATCTTTCAAACCGAAACGCATTACTGCTTCACGGCAGAAATATGCAAGAGTGCCATAATGCCCCTGCCACTGCCGCCAGGGAGAGTTGTAGTCAAGCAATTGTCGTTTGACTTAAGAAGGTACACATTTATCGCGATAATTTGCTACGCGACACCACCTTTGACGCCTTTTTGAGAAAAGTTGTAAAGAGATCAAAGCTTGCTTAGGCTCTTTGTCGAAAACCTTGCAGAAGTCTATACTGTTTATATATAGTGTAATCATCCATAACTTCTTCTTTTTCTCCACCTTATCCCACTAGGTGGGGTCGGCACAGCTAATTTTCCCCTTCCATTCGCTTCTATCAGCCGTCATTTCAACACCTCTCTCTCTCATATCGTCATTCACACTCTCCATCCATGTCTTCTTCGGTCGACCTCCCCCTCTACCTTGCACTACCATTTGCATACATCTTCTAGTCACATGCATCTAATCATCCATAACATTATTATAAATGAGAAATTGAGTTTGTATGTTTGTTATGCTTTAACTACTCATGCATGCTATAACTGCACAACCGACCAGAAATATTCACGTTCAACACGTAGGTTCAGAAAAAGACACGGTACCTTTCAACTAGATTTTTTAAATTTATTTTTTACATTAACGCGAGTGAAGTCAAGAGTAAATGCTATTATTATTATAAAACAGACATTACATGACAAGACCAACATACGTGGCAACTAAAAATGGAAATATGTTCTATTTTGTATATTTTTAAGATATCTCGATTTTAGTCCTCTGGAACAGTGAAGCTTGTTGAGAATTCAAATCGTAGGCAAGTCTTAAATGAATTTTCTTTTATTGCTTAAATGAATGGACGAGCTCACAGCCCACATGATGTTAAGTGGTTACTGGAGCCCATAGACATCTACAACGTAAATACGCCACCCACCTCGAGATATAAGTTCTAAGGTCTCACTATAGTTACAACAGCTACCCCACCCTTCGAACCGAAACGCATTACTGCTTCACGGCGGAAATAGGCGGGGTGATGGTACCTACCCGTGCGGACTTCCAAGAGGTCCACCACCAGTTAAATTAAGGCCTAAGATTAAATCACCACCCTCATAGATACACTTGTACATATATTATTGAGCATGTTATTGATCCTTAAGATGATCTATTATGAGTCACTCTTATTGATTTGTTTTGCAAAAAATTATTTTTAATTCAGTTGAAATAATTATCATTTAATAGTCCAACAATTGTTTTCGATCATGTTGTGTAGCTGTTACAAAGGATCTTGTTTTGTTTGTTATAAACAAGTATAAAGACGTTAGGTGGTTAGCTAATAATAATATTTGGCAATTACACTCGTAAATAATCATGAGTTGTGTGGTGTCAATGGGACTAGGTCATGTGTATTTTTATATTTATACAAGTTACAAAATGAAACCAATAAACAATGAGATTAAATTTAATATCCTTGGTGGACTTTGCATCAAACTTCCTGTTCAGAAGACATTGGAAGACCTGGGTATGTGATTTCGGGTTGCTCAATCCACTTTAGCGGTAGATGTCACGGAGCAAAAGAAAACCGGTCAAAAAGCAGAATCACGCCAACGGCACTTTCAAGATAAGCTTTACATAAAAGTTCCGAGTAACAACACTTGGGCCATTTCGGTCTACAGAGCAATGGCAAACGTTAGTTTCAGAATTTTCCCTTAGGCGTCTCCTCCCTACTTGCTACTATTTTAGTTACTTTCACCATCGAATCTCTTAGTGGCATTATAACTAGCACAGTCTTCTTATTAAGAACAGCACCTTCTTTTGTTACCCTAGTTTATAATACTTAGAATAATTAAGTTTTTGACATAATAGCGACTTAACGTATTAAGCTCTAAATCTTATTTGGTTCAAAATCATTTACATAAGTAATCGTTTTGATCACGTCCTAATATTATTAAAAAACAAAAATACTACAACAACGAAGGCAAGGTCGTATGTTTATTCATTGAAAGACTTGCGAAGGCTGTGGACTTGCGAGGATAGTGTTGCGACACGACGCTCTGAGCGCGGATATATGTGGGCGAAGTCTTGTGGATAGCATCAGTCGCTCTCCGATCTCCGACAGCAACATGAAATCCTTTGTAAGTTGTTTTGTTTTATCGGTCTAAATCCTGACTACCTCTGCAGCGATGAAACAAGCGCTCCCATTTGCTCCTCCAAATGGGCCGTGAACGCATATGCGCATTTAAATAAAAGCATTTTTGTTAGTTGTATCGTAAAATGATATGCGGTATGGTGCGCTTAGTGATCCCGCATTACAGTTTAAAGGGTAGGGTGATTTAAAATTAGTATGATTCCAATAGTAAAATCTCTGGTCTACTCGGGGGGATTAGAGCTTGGCAGAATCATTGAAGTTCGCGTTAAATATATCGATAAATAATTGAGCAGTCCACAAGGGCCACGAAATTATTGGTAATTGTAAAGGTTTCCCCTGCAGTCGGTTACCGTACATACATATGATATCTTTGTCTTAAATGCCAAACTATCTTGTTTTGTAATAAAAATCAAAATTAGTCAACATTAGCAACAAAATTAGCCAAACTCAAATGAAACGTAAATGTGAACTACATTATGTTTGACCGAAGAACTTGTGAATTAATGAATTTTAAATCAGTGAAATTTGCTCTAAATGTATTGAGTACCAGTTTTGCAGTTGTCGTCTTTAATTTCAGGTGGTTATCTGTGCCCTAGTGGCCCTCGCCTCCGCTGGTAATGTCCGCGAGAAGCGCGGTTTCCTTGGCGGACTTGGCGGATATGGTGGCAGTTTTGGTGGTGGATACGGCGGATACAGTGGATTGGGCGGATACAGCAGCTACTCCGCCCCCTCTGTGGTCTCCGTTAACAAGGTCGTGAACGTCCCCAGAGTGGTCAGCGTACCTCAAGTGGTCCACGTCAACAAAGTGGTGGCCCAGCCCCAGGTCGTCACTGTTAATAAGGTTGTCGGCGGTATCGGCGGTTTCGGAGGCGGATACGGTGGTGGATACAGCGGCGGATACGGCGGCGGATACGGAGGCGGATACGGAGGCGGATACGGTGGCGGATACGGCGGTGGTTATGGAGGCAGCGGATGGTGGTGAACACTCTAGTCAATGTGATATTACTTAAATTTTTTTTTAGTTTGTATTTTTGAGATGCCAATAAAAATGTTTGTCATCTATTGTCTCTTTCACTTTTACTTATATTATTACAATCCTACTATATGAATATGAAAAAAATTCTACACTTTTAATATTACTAGATGATGACCGAGCTTTGCTCGCTTTTTTTTTTTTGATAACGCCATCTTGTTGTGTCTTTAAAGCGGTTAGTTGCCCTCAATTAAGAAAAATAGTATTATTATTCGCCAATAGATGTCGGGAAGAGTTGATTATTGAAAACACGAATAAAACAACATTTTCTGAAAATAAATCGTAGCTAGATCGATTTATCGCCCCCGAAATCCCCTGTATACTAAATTTTATGAAAATCGTTCCGAGATTCACATTATATACAAATATATCAATATACAAGAATTGCTCGTTTAAAGGTATAAGATAAATAGCTATAAAGTTAGAAAATTAATTAAATAATACTTGCAAATATTGATTCGCCTAGCTGAAATTTAGAAGCAATTATCTTTTAGTTAACATAAGAAACATTCTTCGCATAGGTATGATATAAAATCTATATAAATAAAAATGAAATGCTGTTCGTTAGTCTCGCTAAAACTCGAGAACGGCTGGACCGATTTAGCTAATTTTGGTCTTAAATTATTTGTGGAAGTCCAGAGAAGGTATAAAAGGTTTAAATAAATATGAAAATGCTCGGAATTTAATAAAAATAACAATTTTTATTTTTCCTTTGATGTGTCCCCTGTCGGACGGATTCCTTTTGTTTGTTTATAACTTAGGTCTTTTATTTATCGATTGAGGCACTACGAAGTCTGCCGGGTCAACTAGTAATTTATATAAAAACACAACAATGCCAAAAGTAGATATATATTTTTATGGAATTGTAAGGAGGTAAGCTTGGAACATAGTAGTACTTAATTTCTGAATGAATAACAGTCTCGATTCATTGGTGAATTATAGTCTGCGATAAGAAGATGTCATGAAAACTTCAAGTACGTAAGCCTTGTCTCAAGGCCCTTGAGCATTGGCATCGATAGAAAGATGTAGATAGGTAACACAAATGAAGTTGCTACTACAGATCCCTGCCGTTTCATGTTTGTTCACATCACTTCGGTTTGCTATTGACGCGTGTTTCTTTAGTTTATGAATTACCAATTATGTATCCTATACATAATGTAACGGTGATTTATTTTTCATGTCGATAAATGTGAATTATATTTTTGTTTACTCTATGGATTTTAGTGTCTAGCCTGAAAAAAACATAAAAATATAATACAATATTTATTTTCGAAATCGTAGTCAGGAAAGCAAAACAGAAAAAATAAATTGTGGTATTCTCTTTAAATCTTGATATATGTGTACTTTTTTTAGGTGACTTGAAATATTCAGTTGTAATAATAGGTTTACCTTTGGAGTTGCAGTTTTACAATACTGGTCATTTGAAGCGTAATCTGTGTATGGCTGGCAGTAACTACTAAATTCAAATGAATTTTACTTTAATAATATGCAATGCTATTTTCAAATACAGTCATTTTTGTTTGATTAGTGTTTCGTTTTCACTAGGTACATCTGTAATTTTTTCATCAATATGGACGCGATAAAAATACAATCGCATCGCCCGGGCGGCATGGTAGGGCCGCCGTACTGCGGAGGCCGGCTGGTTCTGGTTGTGGTGTTGACCGCGAGAACTGACCGGGTTCTGACCCTGTGGAGTGGAAATTGGGCGTCGAGTGTAAGAGTCGCTTAATGCGGTATGACTCTAAAAATATCCTTGGGCCCGCGGTCTGCTTCCGACATCGGCAGATCGCCATGTCTCACGTACCCCGCGCGCATACTGGGCGCGGGGACCTCGCAGAGGGTTCGGTTCCCGGCCCAAAAAAAAGCCCTTGCGTTGTTTAACAGACACAAAAACGAAGCGAATTTAAACCGCATTGTCACTTCACTTTTTTTTATTATCGTAAGAGATTATTGTATGGGCTTAACTGTATAATTAAGTGCATCATCATATAACTCAAACACACGATAGCGTCTGATACAAAGTAGCGGATCATAGAGCTTAGAGAGTCAATATATCAGAACTGAAATCCATGTATATGATCACTGTTGTAACTAAGAAGTTGGATAAACAAGTAAACGCCCGGGCGGCCTGGTAGGGCCGCCGTACCGCGGAGACCGACGTCGTTGGTCGGGCGTCCTCGGGGTGACGCCGCGTGTTTGGTTGTAGTGTTGACCGCGGGAACCCCCCTACTCTGACCGGGTTTTCACCCCGGATGGAGATCGGACGTGGGGTGTAAGAGTGCAGAGGAGTCGTTTAGTGGGTGGGCCCTAAAATTCCTTGGGCCCGCGGTCTGCTCTCAACACCTTGCAGATCGTCAGGTCCCACATACCTCGCGCGTACCCTAGGCGCGGGGACCTCGTAGGAGGTTCGGCCCCCGGCCCGAAAAAAAAAAGCATCCACCCCAGTCAAGATTTCGTATCGTATCGGGGACTGAATGAAGTCACAATGACTAAAAAAACCGCCGGTTACGTACGGTCCATGATTTAATTGCATTCAAGTGCAGTTCTAGAGACCCCGGGGAGTGGTGCAATGACTCGGACCTGCTCCTTCCCTAATTATTATATAGCTCTTAGCACATTACTTATGTGCACCATTATTGTGTTTGTTAAAACCGTCATTGTTTTACTTAATTTATTTCGAATATGTAACATTTTGAGAAAACACCCCAGCACTCTAATGTAGCACATTTCACTAAGTCTATCTGATTTGTTAGTTGGTAAATTATGAACGAATACATATTTTTCGTGTTATTTTCAAATACGGTTGACGTTGATTTATAGATATAGGTGGGTTAAGTAGGGAAAGATACTACGCCACTTCCGATGGGGCTGCAGACTTGGGTCCTCTTGGGGACACTCTCGGGGACACGTGTCCATACATCGTCGCGTCGGGGAGATCATTGTCATGCATAACGTTCTGACCGTAGTATAATTATTAATCGACTGATATTTATGCATCTCGTGTTCCAAATAGTGACTATTATAATGAAAACCTCGCGTCTAAGCCTCGACCTCGGTCACTCGGTCAAGGGTTCAGATCCGGAATTCGAAAAACAAATGTTTTTCTGCAGATTAGTATAACGTTTAATTATGAATCTATATTTTGTAAGTTGTTTATTAATGTACGATCAGTTAATTTGTAGGTTTTACTCTTCGATCAACAATGTTACTATTGATGATCGAAGGTTTTACTAAACCAATATCACTACCGCTGTGCTGGGTAGTCACAGAGCAACCGCACCGGGCATCTCAATAAATGTGATGTCTTCACAAAAAAAGCCCTTCGTCGTAGCCCGCGTAGGCTTGGAAGCCAGTATGAATGTAGATAACAGCATCTCAGGCTGCGGTAACTATTAAACGTGTTTAAGTATTTCTGCAAATAAGCATTGATTGCATGAGTTTAAACTCCATATTATTTTGTGTTAACGTAATGTTATAAAGGAAGTAAATAATCAAGATATTAAATCGAGAGAGTATATTTAATATGTTGGCGAAAACGTAAACATGCAAATAAACGACCACGGGAGTGCTGTGAGGAATTCTTTTAAGATGATTCCATCACCATCGCACCGCCTGCCACTGAACTAAAGTTCATCCATACTACCTGGAACCGCTGCGGTCATCCACAGTGCGTTTCCAGAGATAATTTTTGACACGTACCATCCGGCTTTGGAATGAGCGCCCCTCCACGGTGTTTCTCGAGCGCTATGACATGTCCTTCTTCAAACGAGGCTTGTGGAGAGTATTAAGCGGTAGGCAGCGGCTTGGCTCTGCCCTTGGCATTGCTGGCATCCACGACCGACGGTAACTACTTACCATCAGGTGGGCCGTATGCTGCTTGGTCGGGCAATGAAATAAAAAAAACGTGTGATAGCAATCTTGTCATAATAGCAAAAAGTATGTACAAAACCGAATATCAAATTCAAATGTGCTTTTCTATGTAATAAGAGCGGGAAAGTCAGTAAGCGGCAGAAATATTCAGATAGAACTATGGTAACCGACTGTCTGCTTAATTTATAAATTATTGCGCCGGTACGTCTTGTGTTGTGAGCTCGCACGCTTAGGTACTTGCCACTATCCTGCGTGTTATAACCTACCTATTCGCTGACAGCCTAAGAGTCTATTTCAGCTACGACCGGACGGATGGGTGAGCTCACGGGCTCAACCTGAGAGAATTGGCTAACACTAGTCCTAGCAAGAGCAGTGCTTCGCAGAATCTACCACAGGATCGGAATCGCGACCCACTGAGAATATCCGGTGAGAAACTCAGTGGACTGTGTCTATGGGTTAGTTCGCTCGTCGAGCCTTTCGTCGCAAGCGACGGGTTCGACGAGGACAATGATCGGTGCTTGAGGTACCTAAAAGTACCGTTAGTGGATCGGGAGGATCCGAAATGACGTGTTTGGGGTGACATCGACTGCTTTCCATTCTGTCCGCAGGATCGGGAATGTAGTTACCGGCGGTCACGATGAGAGGGTTCTCGTGTCGTGCCGCTTTATCGAAGTGGCGCATCGATGCCGACTGTAGATACGTACTGATGGACTCTAAGTTCAGGTCGTCATGGAGGTCGATGTTCCTGACGAACCACGGAGCTCCGACGGCTATCCTGAAAAAACGGGATTGAATGACTTGGAGTGATATTAAGTGAGTGCGGGCCGCGTGAGCGAACACTACACTTGCATAGGTCATGACGGGGCGTATGCAAGTTTTGTAGTATCACCTTATTTCTAAGGGACAGTTTACTTCGCCTGCAAATCATCGGATAGATAACTGCCTGTTCCAGCAACGAAGCGCTCAGGTGTTCCAGCTTCAGGGCCTTCTACTGTACATTTGAGACTCTCCAGGTGGTCGCTTTCTACGAGCTGCGGTACTAATTGACATCAGGTGAGCTGCGGGCTCGGCTACCTATCTTAGCTAATAAACAAACAGAATAAAACGCACCTTTAAAATTATAGAGACTCATTTTGAAATTTTTGGATTTCGTCTTTAATTAAAAAATAGATCTAGAACGACCCTTTTCAGCGACTTTTAGTAATCAAATGATCAGAAGTAGCTTATAACGGGACAAAGCTATCCATCGGTCCCTTTCACTCCGTCCACTTCCTCCACGTTTTTTCGGTTTGAGAACTTTAATCAAAAAACACATTTTTGAGTTGGGTCATTATAATTCTAAAGGTGCGAAATTTGATTTGTGTTTTAGTTTAATAGGAGGCTTATTTTGAATCGTAAAACATAAAAACTGATTACAAGGCGCTCGCTCGTTCGCGCAGAGGTGACGCAATAACTTGGACGTTGCACAAAAATTACATTTTATTTGTTTAAATTGTTTCAAAAAAATTTATTTCATGTTATGGTCCACTTGGAACTATAATTGAATGTAATATTGAGTAATGATGAGCAAGGTATGTGTAACGCATTGTTGTCGGTGAGCGCCGGTGAGAGCTTATGGACATTGGCAAAGTAGTTGGTTTTTTTTGTTTCAAATGATAGACAAGATTACGACGACGACGAACCTAGAAGACCGCTTATGACCGCCTATGACCGCCTACCATCGGCCGGCCGAGGGGCTTCGAGCCAAAATGCTACTCCTCAATCGTGTTGTCATTAGCTAAGCCGCTTGCGACTTTATGCTGATGTTGATGTTGTTATCAGGTATAGATATTACAAAGAGAAATGAACTTTGAGACACTGCCGAGATCTTAGTGTGGTAGGTATATAAATATGTAACTATACTTTGAGACCATAGAACTTATATCTTAAGGTGGGTGGCGCATTTACGTCGTAGATGTCTATGGGCTCCAGTAACCACTTAACACCAGGTGGGCTGTGAGGTCGTCCACCCATCTAAGCAATAAATAAAAATTTGAGCACGAGGCTCTACCTGGACTTGACCTCTGTCCGGCTGTGTCTAGAAAATAAACGACCTTGAACTCCTAGAGCTGCTGGTCTTGTTCATCATCCGTCCGCATTAGTGATTTTATTTGCTTATTGCCTAGGTGTGAGGACGAGCTCACAGCCCGTCTGGTGTTAAGTGGTTACCGGAGCTCCAGACTATCTACCTCCTATCCTTACCTCTATCTATCTACAACGGCTGTCCCACCCTTCAAACCGAAATGCAATACTGCTTTACGGCAGAAATAGTCAGGGAGGTGGTAGGCCCGTGCGGACTCATAAGAGGTCCTATCACCAGTAATTAAGCAAATTATAATTTTGCGGGTTTGATTTTTATAACACGATATTATTCCTTCACCGTGGAAGTCAGTCGTGAACATTTGTTAAGTACGTATTTCATTAGAAAAATTGGTACCCGCCAACGGGATTCGAACACCGTTGCATCGCTACATACGAATGTACCGGACGTCTTATCCTTTAGGCCACGACGATTTATCTTCACACCACCTACCGTAGGTCAAATTACATCCCTCTACGTCCGGCTATCACATTCGAATATTGAAATATGTCTTATTAGTAGGGGTTACAAGACATCCACACTACCTCGTCTCGAGAATTCAATAGAATGCTAGAGTGATCAATTCCCAGCTGATTGTGTGAGTTAGCTTACAATGGATCCTGTAGACAACTAAAAACAACTGAAATTGAAGAAGTGTAGATTAGTATAATATGATTTTTAATTAATTTATACCATATCAGTCAAAGATTCACTTTAAAGTGTGATTTATTTAGCGTATCTCCCCTCGAAGGCTAACTAGCGATTATTCATCAGTACACACCACCGAGGATAGTGTTGCGACACGGCTCGTGCGCCGCGGATATATACCGCCGACGCTTCCAACACAACATCACTTGTCTGCTAACCGACATCGCATCATGAGAGCATTCGTGAGTATTACTCATTAAAACGTTCTAAAAGTAAAACGTTAATTAACTAGGCATTCTAGCATTAGCAAATTCGCATTACTAAACTATTTCGTTACATAGCAATAACTGTTGTAACGGCAAATCTATAGTGACTAAGATAATCCGAATATAATATTAGGTCACATTATTCGAGAATTTATTGTTTTTTCGATTTATTATACGCGTGTAAGTAGAGGATTGGATTAAGATTCCGTTATTTCCGTTCATGGAATACCAACTTCTAAATAATGTACGGCGAGGGTGTCGCCATCATCATGTTTACAAAAGTGGATACCGACTGCTGTAAAGTCATTGCGCTGTTAATACAATTCAGGGTTTGACTATTTGGGTTAACTTGGATNAGAATTTATTGTTTTTTCGATTTATTATACGCGTGTAAGTAGAGGATTGGATTAAGATTCCGTTATTTCCGTTCATGGAATACCAACTTCTAAATAATGTACGGCGAGGGTGTCGCCATCATCATGTTTACAAAAGTGGATACCGACTGCTGTAAAGTCATTGCGCTGTTAATACAATTCAGGGTTTGACTATTTGGGTTAACTTGGATTAATTGGTTTTTATTCTGCTGTAAAATTCCAAAATAATTTTCTCAATTCGCAGAATACACCTACTCATGTATGCATGTGTACAAGTATGTATTGCTCAGCATGTTTTGTAATTACAGGTTGTAATCTGCGCCCTGGTGGCCCTCGCCTCCGCTGGTGACGTTGGAAATGTACGTGAGAAGCGCGGCTTCCTCGGCGGACTCGGTGGCGGCATTGGCGGCTACGGCGGATATGGCGGCGGCTACGGTGGCGGCTCCGGCGGCTATGGCGGATACAGCGGTGGTTATGGCGGATACGGCGGTGGTTATGGCGGATACGGCGGCTCTGTCATCAGTGCGCCGGCCACTCGTGTTGTTGCCGTCAACAAGGTCGTGAACGTCCCCAGGGTGGTCAGCGTACCTCAAGTGGTCCACGTCAACAAAGTAGTGTCCCAGCCCCAGATTGTTACCGTTAAGAAGGTTATCTCCTCTCCGTCTATCGGCGGCTATGGCGGTTACGGCGGATATTCCGGTGGATACTCTGGTGGATACTCTGGTGGCTACGGCGGTGGTCATGGTGGTTACAGTGGCGGATACAGCAGCGGATACGGCAACGGATGGTGGTGAACTAGTCATTAACTGTGAAAAAAGTTAGTTATCATGTTTAGTTTATGTATAAATAAATTTTTATTTTATCTAAAACAAACATTTTTGGATTTCTCACAACCCGTTTTCACAATCTTATCTTTAAAGTTAGGAAGGTATTTTGTTTATTGGAGGAAAAACAGTGCAGTAAATTACGTAGCATCTTGCCAAGTAGCATATTTTCAGTAAGAGTTGCTGAAAAACAAAAATATTTTACTATCTATTTATCATGTAGGTAACTGTTTTAACTTCTGTTGGCGAGGCTGATTAAGAGGCGACATGTGTAAGTACAACCAGCCTACCTTTATTCCCGTGAAGCAGTAATTCTGGTTTGATTTGAATTCACGTTATGATGTACATGCGTTCTAACTATTATTTAACGGTCGGAAGAGCTAATTTAGCCGATGGAAGTCTAAGAATCCTCTGAGATTATCTTATTTTCATCAAAGTGACTTAAAAGCGCAAATGTCAGTTAGCAAATTTGATTTTCCGGCTGACCGACTGGCGTGAGTTTGCGAAAGGGCAAAATAACCTGTCTTATAGATATGGCATCTACTGACTGACTCTTCGTGACCCTTGTAGGGACTTATTACAACACCGTTGATTCCTCTAACTCCAAGTTCGTTTAAAAATGTTCAAATGCCTAGTCTTAGTGTTGGGATTTAGTCTATGATGTAAGTACATAAGAAATGCAACACACATATTTGTAAATACAAGCTTCCAACAAAACATCGGTTTTTTCATCGGGACTTAAAAGCTGACACACGAACTATTTAAATTGATACTTTGTTTGTTGCCTGTGTCGTAATGTTCATTAATTGACGTGTGCAATTGAGAACTCGAAGTGTTAATAATTAAAATTATAAAATTGGTAATTTAAAAAGCTTTTGTTCACAATTAAACTTGTTTATATTCACTAAGTTCTTGATCACAATTTAAAATTGTAGAACAGAATATATTTATGTAAAAGGGATTATAAGTAAGGCTTGAACTTTAGACTTGAAATATAAACTTGGTCCTAAGGGTGTCATTCGGCATCACCGACACTTTATAACAAGGTGGTCTGGCCCGTGATCCTGGAAATGGATGGAACACGGAGTGCCCTACCTCCGCTGATTGATCGCCTTCTATCCGGAGGTCAGTTTGGTTGTCTGGATCGAGCAAGTTGGGCGGGCACCGGTTTTTATTCTCGCAACATGCACCGCTTGGCACAAGAGTTGTTAGGGTATGATTGGGTATTGAGGAGGGGGAAAGAAGGGGATTTCTGAACGCATACAAATTTCACAGTCAGTGAGTGTGATTTCTTCTACTGATGAATAGTTGACCGGCGGTCCGGCTTGGCACACACTCGTATCGTGAAGGATGTTAGTGTTTGCACAGAACGCCTTTGAACGGAGATCACGTTTTTTTTTTTATTTTTTTTTTATTGCTTTAGATCTCACGTTCGCACGTTCGACGACCTTGTCTCAGTTCTCAGACAAATATATTAATATTTGGCTATTAGTGGCCCCGGTTACGTCAACTGTCACTGTTTTGCATATCGATTGGATTTACTGAGATTTACGTTCATTACCTAAAGCTAAGTCTTGAAAGTATTTAAAAGAGGTTTTTTTAGTGCTGTGATGTCGTTGAGCGTAGGAGCTTACAACGTTATTTACACATAGCGTTTATTTGTTTATTCTAAATTAAGATTTGGTTGCTTTTATGTGAATAGTATTAGATTTTTGTGTATTCACTCACGGTAGTCTCCGGCCGGTCTGACTTACGACATAGATATGAGTTCCGGTTCGAATGTTAGATACAATTCAACTATTTTTGCTAGGTTTTATTCTTGCTTTCCGCTTTAAAGCTTGCTATGACTATTTGTTTTTATGTTTTTTTATAAATATGAAGTTAGAGATCTAATATTTTGATTATAGCTAAGACTCTATAAAGTCGGCGTGGCCTAACGGATAAGATGTCCGGTGAATTTGTGTTGAGCGATGCATCGGTGTTCGAATCTCAGGCGGGTACCAATTTTTCTAATAAAATACGTACTCAACAAATGTTCACGATTGACTTCCACGGTGAAGGAATAACATCGTGTAACTAATAAAAATCAAACCCGCAAAATTATAATTTGCGTAATTACTGGTGGTAGGACTTCTTGTGAGTTCGCGCAGGGTAGGTACCACCACCCTGCCTATTTCTGCCGTGAAGCAGTAATGCGTTTCGGTTTGAAGGGTGGGGCAGCCGTTGTAACTATACTTGAGACCTTAGAACTTATATCAAAAGGTGGGTGGCTCATTTACGTTGTAGATGTCTATGGGCTTCAGTAACCACTTAACACCAGGTGGGCTGTGAGTTCGTCCACTCATATAAGCAATAAAAAAAAGGCTCGAATGACAACGTTTAAACTTCTCTAAGCTGTTTTTCCATTTATATTTTACAAAATGCATGGAGGAGTGGCATTATTGAATCGGATCGGAAATGGCAGGATGCTGGTGGAATACTTGGTTTTTACAAATTGTACTGCTTTCACAGACATGTGATAAGTTATTATGTTCCTTTGAAATCCTCTTCCATGATTAGTTGACGTTATAAAGCGTCTATGCTTCAGAGTAGCCTCAATTATTTCAATAGCTTAATATTGTTGCTCATACTGATCTTATGAAATTAACATAAGTTTGGGTAAGTTAATTGTAAAATAATAAAATGATTATAAATTTTAGGGCAGTGATCCAATTATATTTATTGTAAACTATATCATCACTAGGCTATAGTAATCAGTTCATGAACTCATGGGACTAGAATATTCATTTCCAGGCGCTGGCGTAGGTGGCTCCGTAGCCGGTGCCGAAGCCAGTGCTGTAGGGACCGAAGCCGGATCCGTGGGTGCTGTAACCGGTGCTGTAGGGAGTGTAGCCAGCTCCGTAAGTGCTGTAGCCGGTGCTGTACGGGGTGTAGCCAGCTCCGTAAGTGCTGTAACCGGTGCTGTACGGGGTGTAGCCAGCTCCGTAGGTGCTGAGGCCTGATCCGTAAGTGCCGTATCCAGCGCCGTAGCCGGCGAGACCGCCGGTGTAGCCGGAGTATCCCAGGTTGTAGCTGGGCTGGCTGACTACCTTGTTGACGGTGACGACCTGGGGCTCATTGATGACCTTGTTCACTTTCACGACCTCGGGGACACTCACGACCTTGGGTACGTTGACGACCTTGTTGACGGCGACTGTGGTAGGTACGGCGGGAGTGTAGCTCACAGCCGGGGCGGTGTAGGAGATTGGAGCGGTGTAGCTGACGGCAGGAGCGGCGCTGTATTTCACGGCGGGAGCGACGGCAGAGTAGCTCAGAGCCGGGGCAGCAGAGTAGCTCACGGCGGGGGCAGCACTGTATTTCACAGCGGGTGCAACGGCGGAGTAGCTCAGAGCCGGGGCAGCAGAGTAGCTCACGGCGGGGGCAGCAGAGTAGCTCACGGCGGGGGCAGCAGAGTAGCTCACGGCGGGGGCGGCTGCGTACTTCACAGAGGGAACTGATGTGAAACTGGAGTAGCTGACTGCTGGGGCAGATGAGTAACGCACTTGAGGTGTGCTGTAGCCGTAAGAGCTGACGGCAGGAGCGTAGCTGGCGGCGGAGTAGGCGGGGGCGGCGTAGCTGGCGGCGGAGTAGACGGGGGCGGCGTAGCTGGCGGCGGAGAAGGCCGGGGCGGCGTAGCTGTAGGCGGGGCTGGCGTACCGGTATCCAGCGTTAGCATAGCTCANGCTGACTGCTGGGGCAGATGAGTAACGCACTTGAGGTGTGCTGTAGCCGTAAGAGCTGACGGCAGGAGCGTAGCTGGCGGCGGAGTAGGCGGGGGCGGCGTAGCTGGCGGCGGAGTAGACGGGGGCGGCGTAGCTGGCGGCGGAGAAGGCCGGGGCGGCGTAGCTGTAGGCGGGGCTGGCGTACCGGTATCCAGCGTTAGCATAGCTGACGGCGGGAGACGTGTAGCCGTAAGAGCTGACAGCCGGGGTGGAGTAGCTGTAAGACGAGGGAGAGGAGTAGACGGAGGGAGAGGAGTAGCCGGAGTAGCCGAGGCCTCCTAAGTTCTGGTAGCCGCTGCCGTAGCCGAAGGTGGATCCATAGTTGGAGTCGTAGCCGAGTCCGTGGAAGAAGCTACGCTTGTCACGTGCGGCCTTGTCTTCTGTCTTGGCGGCGGCGGCAATGGCCACGAGGGCACAGATTAAAACCTGAAATAGATACAGAAAATGGTAATGATCTGATATATGGCAGCCCCGTTCAAAACACCTACTCTAAGCGCCAGCTTCGTCACCATAGTCACATTCAAATAATGAAACTGCCGCCATCAATAGCTCATAGAACTTTATGTGAAAGCTTTGGCTATTTATATTATATTGGTGGTTCCCCAGTAGTTGAAATTCGACTATAATTATTTTAAATTTTAAGTTTGAACATTATAATTGTTCTATTGTCAAAAACTATTGTACTTCTATAATCACAGATTTCGTCAAGACTACACTATAGACCAATAATATTATATTCTCAATTTGACCACAGACTACAAGCAATAAGAAAAGTTTGACAATAAACAAATAGTATGCATGCATGTGTGTGTCAAATACATAGTAGTGTGTGTAATGTTTTTATTTATTGATTTAATGTATTTTTTATTCATAATAAAAAAAAAAAAAATTCTGCACTCCTTCTCTATATTCTCTTGAAGGGTGTAAAATTTCATTATTCCGTCTGCGCAATTTTCATAAAAAGGAGTACAAAGTTTTTGCTTCACGTATTAATTAATATATAGACATCATGTAGCGTGTTGCTTAAATCATTTGAATAATAACAACGTTGAATGTTATAATTAGTGCGTTTCGACTTGACATTTCAGTAACAAAACGAGGAACTAGAGAATAAATTAATAAAATAACGATAAAACTAAACTTTGTCTAAATTGTATCAATAAATTATATAATCATGTTATTTTTAATTCAACTAAAATATTTGGATTTTAAGACATCTAATTAACTCCGGATCAGTTGTACGCACATTAGATAATAGTGATTTAATGCGTTTTGTTGAGTTCAATTTCATTTTTATTTTTGGGAATTTAATATATTGGCAAATGTATGAAATGTATTGCGATAGTGTGCACGATGCCAACAGCCCAGGTCTCGAGGTCCCCCACCTCAAGACGTGTCTTGACTCATATGACTCATGTAATGTTGTACAGCTTAGGTTTTTCTAAATTACTATTTACTATGTAAAATTGGTCTGACAGAATTATTTATATCACCTCATAAGGAAACAAGAAATTAAAGGCTACGGTCACTAGCCAATGCTTGTCAAATGTTAAATTTTAATTTACTTCATTCTGACAGTATATTTCACCAAAGTTTACGGTAATTGATGTGTACTTTTTTATAATTTTAGTATTACATCTATATATATATAAATGAATTGCTGTTCGTTAGTCTCGCTAAAACTCGAGAACGGCTGGACCGATTTGGCTAATTTTGGTCTTGAATTATTTTTGGAAGTCCAGAGAAGGTTTAAAAGGTAGATAAATATGAAAATGCTCGGAACAACAATTTTGTTTTTTCTTTGATGTATCCCCCGTCGGACGGATTCCTTTTGTTTGTTTTAAGTTTATTTTATACAAGAGTTTAGGTCTTTTAGCTATCGATTGAGGCACTACGAAGTCTGCCGGGTCAGCTAGCTTAAAATAAAATTGACACATCTTTGTGTTAGGGTTTGTGTAATAATCATATTTTTTCCCTTATCTAATCGTTGGTAGTCTAAGGGGCCATTCTAACTACCTGCGGACGGGTAGGTGAGCTCACGGCCTCAATCTGAGAGAATTGCTAACACGAACCCTAGCAAGAGCCGTGCTTCGTTGAATCTACCACCGAATCGGAATCGCGACCCACTGAGAAGGGATAATAAGCATCATAGCTTTTCTTGAATTTAAGAAAAATCTCTATTAGACTTAGGCATCACTTGGAATGTCGGATTAATGATGTGCCTAGAATTGTTTGGGCCCAGACTTTGCAGCAATCGTAAATCTGCAGTTTTGTATAAATTTGGAATAAAATATACAAGGAACACAGTGGATCCTCTTAAGTCAAACCAACTGTTAGACTTCAACTGCTAGTTTTAATAAAACTCTGGTTGCAGTTAGCATCATATTTAAAATGATGACGAATAACACCCCAATCGCGTATGTCCATGAAAATTGTAAAGTATTTGAAACGTTGAAAACAGTCAAATGAAAATAATAAATACGAGATTAAACCGTATAATTAGTTTGGTTATAAATTGTACCAAATTTCTATCATTATTTTTTTATTTTTTATTGTTTAGATTGGTGGATGAGCTCACAGCCCACCTGGTTTTAAGTGATTACGGAGTCCATAGAAATCTACAACGTAAATGCTGCCACCCACCTTGAGATATGAGTTCTAACCGAAACGCATTACTGCTTCACGGCAGACCTAGGCAGCGTGATGGTACCTACCCGTGCGGACTCACAAGAGGTCCTACTACTAGTAAAAAAATTAATGTGTGCCTTTAAAATCGAAACTTTGTTGATAGTTAAATTGCAGTTATTTGAAACAGGACATCAGGTAGGCACTGCGATGGTTTTGTACTGAATTATTATTATTATCGCAGTATACTAGCATGCGTTCCACGAATACCTCAAACAGGCGTTATGTTTGTAATTCTACATCATAAGAAAGTATATTGTAAAGCTGTTAACTTTAAATAAATGAAATAAATAAACCATATCGATCGACAACATTTATCAATTTCATCATAAGATAATGTTTATGAGCAGCTGTAAACCCAAAGCGGATCTGAACTGACATTAGTATAGTAATTAATAGTAAATATGGGTTTTGGGTGTGTCATAGATATTGTCAATGTCCGTGAGCGATAGTGTACCCAATTATCGACCGTTTTCAACGACAATACAAGATTTAACGGCTTCAAGATAAGCCAATTATAATAAATACATATGTAAGAAAATATATTTGAACAAATATATCGAACCTATTTTAAAAAGTCAATAGGATACTCACAAAGGATCTCATCTCGGTTGATCTCACGGTCGGCTGTCGAAGGAGTGATGTCGCAAGCCATCTCCTCGACACATATATATGTGGAGCACATGTGACGTCACTAGGATTCGCGGCCTTCAACCTATATACAAAACGGACGAGCATAATAATAATAAAACTGATACGCTCTTCGATTAAATTAAGATAGTTATAATTAGGTGTTACATAACGAGCGTGTCTCTCTTCGATCACGCGTTTATTTTCACATTTCTTCCTTTTTTTTTTAAATAAATTTGTATAAAATTTTAAATATCAGCCTGATAGATAAATAGATGCATAGATGCAGATAGATAAATAGATGCAGTCGCTGTGGGTAGGAGCGTTTGCAAACACTTCCTCTTCCTCTTCCTATGTTACATTGAACAAGGCTTGTTTGTCCCCCAGTTTCAGTCAAATTAAGAATTTAGTTATTGAGTTTTAAAAAAAAGAGTATCGGCTATCCGAGTAGCATCAGGGTGGGGCTCGGGCTGGGCGACGTCGAGAGTAATGTAACTAGCTTGGGTTAGTGGTTATCTGAACCCAGAAATATGCGAACGGCACTGCCCTCCAACCTAATGGTACGGACGCGAGGACTTTTCTACATCTCGATCTAGGATTCGGAGACATCAACAAATATCTTTAACAAAGGTGTTGAGACTCAAACGCGAACATCGTGTTACCGCAGTTAGAATCGCTAGCGACTAGTCCAGCGGAGGCGGTCTTTAATGGTTGATTTCTTGAAAATGTACAAAACTTGGCTGAAATAAAAAGGAGAATAGTTGCGTCGGTAAAATTATTGGACATAATTTCATTAGTACTCCACGGTGTTTCCAGAGTGCTATGACTTGTCTTTCTTCAAACGAAGCTTGTGGAGAGTATTTTAGCGGTAGGCAGCGGCTTGGCTCTGCCCCTGGCATTGCTGAAGTCCATGGGCGACGGTAACCACTTACCATCAGGTGGGCCGTATGCTCGTCTGCCTACAAGGGTGATAAAAAAAAAACAAAAAAAACGTAGCTTCTTACACTTGGGTGGGGGACGAAATTTCATCAACTATAGACTGCAAATTTGCACTACATCAGTCAGCACGTTGTTACCTATTCGTGTGGCATCCACCACTACGCTCTCTGGTATAGTTCGGCCGTGTATGGTCGGTGTACAGTTGACGATGTCAATCTGATAATCGACGTAACGCGGAAAATGCTGCAGTCGTTTCATAGTAAGCCAGCGTCGCAGTCTTAGTCCGCATTTCGGATCCTCCTGATTCACTAACGGTGCTTTTAGGTACCTCGAGCACCGGTCATCGTTGCGACGAAGGGCTCGACGAGTAAATTAACCCTCAGACAGCCCACTGAGTTTCTCGCCGGATCTTCTCAGTGGGTCGTGACTCGCGTTTCCGATCCGGTGGTAGATTCTGCGAAGCATGGCTCTTGCTAGGGTTCGTGTTAGCAACGTCGTCAGGTTTGAGCCCCGTGAGCTCACCTACTAGTTAAGGTTACGCTGATATAGCCTCTCAAGGCTATCAGCTTAGGTAGGAAAAAAACAAACAACGCAGTCTTTTTTTTTTTTTTTATTGCTTAGATGAGTGGATGAGCTAACAGCCCACCTGGTGTTAGGTGGTTACTGGAGCCCATAGACATCTACAACGTAAATGCGCCAGCCACCTTGAGATATAAGTTCTAAGGTCTCAAGTATGGTTACAACGTATAGTCTTAATAAATCCGTCGCAGTCGACTTACGGAACTTCTTGTGGACGCACCCTACCTGCCTCAACCTGCCGCTAACACCCACTGTAGCCTTCGACCAGATCATTATAACTTGGGACGCACACTCCTGCGTGGCAGCTCCTCACTGCACCGCGGACTTCGTGGCACCCTTTTTCCATGGTAGTCGTAAAGGCAGCTAAGGAAGAAATAATACTTAACCTGACAGTATACGACAATGTAGGTGGTGTACCGAACATTACCACATGCGGTGAACGAATAACATCGTGTAATAAAAATGAAACCCGCAAAATTATAATTTGCGTTGTAACTATAGGTACTTGAGACCTTAGAACTTATATCTCAAGGTGGGTGGTGCATTTAAGTCATAAATGTCTATGGGTTCCAGTAACCACTTAATAACCTACTTGAGCCCCGTGAGCTCACCTACTAGTTGAGGTTCCGCTGAAATAGCCTCTCAAGGCTATCAGCTTAGGTAGGAAAAAAAAACTTAACATCAGGTGGGCTGTGAGCTCGTCCACCACCACATAAAAAAAAATGCACTCACAGTACTAGTTTAATAAGAAAACCTTCATTTACTTTGCCGTAGTCGGGTGAATACAGATTTAGACCCGAGACAACTTCCCATAAATGTACATCCATAACATATTGAATATTGTGAAATTAAACATTCCCAATGAACGTGGTCACAAACAAAAGCCTCATATAAGGATTAATATGTGTTTTATGTTAATTTTCAGTTCTGTTGCATCTACAGAACTAAACAGGCTAGCATTGGCGTAGTTTGATAAGCGATTATAGCCATTCCGCTTTAGGTCGTGAAGGTTATTTTTCCGTTTGTTATACACTTCTTGTTTTACGGACGTGTCAAGTTTCTAATTTTTAATGGATAATAATTTATAATTTGCTTATTTATTGATGCAGATCTCTATGGGATGCGGTAACTGCTTAACAACTGGTGGGCCGTGAGTTCGACCACTCACCTAAGCAATAAATAAATAAAATTATAAAGTTATCAATGTGACTTCAAACTTAATATTTATAAGAAAGGGTTGAAAGTAGAAGTATTTTGTTTAATTATAAGATAAGTTTTCGGTAGTGAAAATTGCTTTGGTGGTACGACGTGATACCATCTTTAGATTTACTAACCAATCGACTAGCGAGGTGGTTTTGCAACTACTAGTTAGTCTAATTAGTAAAACTCATCGATAAACACAGACTTCAGATAAAGATTTTGTTTCATTTTGTGCAGTACATTTTCTTTTTGCTTTTGTTATGTAAGTACTGAGACTTTGAAGAAAAATAAATTTACTAGTTTAATATAAAATTGTCAATAGTTCTAAAGTTAAGTCAATAGCTACTAAACAAAAAACAAATAAAAATTGGATCTGTTCACAAAAAGAGGAGACAAAGGTGCTGAGCTGTTTTGACTTTTCCTTTTTAAAATAGATTATACCGAGGGGTGAAAAGTTATTTGGTTTAAGCGTCATTTTTGCAACTTTACAGGAGCACCATTTAAAGTTTAAAATTTATAAAATATATTCAAAAAAGACTTCCTCAGCTATTCAAATGGAGTAAGCTTATTTGAAATTCAATGTAAAATATTGAACTGTTGATGTTGATACCAAATAAAACGCCACCTTTATTACGAAGATAAATGTCGTGTATCAAGCGAAGTTCGCTTAGGAAACTAAATATTTTTTCACCCCTCGATCTGATGTTGTGTTCACCGCCCTACCGCATCCCCAGTGTGGCGGGCACATCGTACACGCTATAGTTCGACTCAAACAACTTCTAATCAAATCAAATCAAATCAAAAAAAAATTATTCAACATAAATGAAAGTACATACTTGTTGAACGTCAAAAGAACTACCGCCAATTCACAAGAACTAGCCTCCGTCCTGAGAAGAATTGGCAATGATAGACATGGATAAGGTAATATCTGAAACAAGTAAGTGTCATTCATTGTTTTGATGATGTGAACAATAACGTCGTAAGGCCACGTAATCATACTGAGACCTTATGACTTTTATCTCAAAATGGGTGGCGCACTTACGTTGTAGATGTCTATGGGCTCCAGTAACTACTTTATACCAGGTGGGCTGTGAGCTCGTCCACCCATCTAAGCAATGAAAAAAAACGTAAACATAAAAACTAGCGTAACACAAGTCCACACGTGACCATCTTGCACGTGTGTCCTAGCCTCTGCGAAATAATAAATCGATCTAGTTTTCGTAATATTTAAATCAGTCAATGGTCGTACTCTAAAATTAGATTTTATTACATTTTTTGAGCTCTATGTTTGGTAGTAATTTCGACCTGATTGCTTACGGCGCTGGCTGAATATCTGACGCGACACTTCGACCCTTGAAAATGTTTTGTAGCATCTCCTAACTCCTTCTCTGTATTTCTTAAAGGGTATGTAAGTTACGAAATAGAATAGAAGCCTAGTAATAACTTATTGTTTATTGCTTAGCCAGTACCGATGTCCAGTAGGATAAGTAGGACTCACGCATTTTCTTTAAATTTTATTGATTCTACTTTTACCTAGAAGAAATTTAATGGAAACGTTGGTGCAATTAATCGCTCAAGTTCGCTTTCTTATAGTAATAAATACTAAGTAAAACCGTATTTTACATTAAATTGCTTTTTCAACTTCATTTGAATACTCATAGCAATATGAGAGAAGAGAACTAAAATATTTCCATCGGATCTGGTCTGAGAACAACATTATAAAATTATCAAAACTAGTTTACGGCGATATTTTTTTTAATTTATATCCCAATTATTTATGATATTTATGTGTTGAGATGTCAATATATCTAGTTTTCGTTTATTTCACGAGGGATTGTAAAATAATAAAATATTTTACAGGTTTCCTTTAAGTGCAGTCGTAATTGTAGTATATAGTGTTAATTTAGACAAAGGTCGAATAAAATTAATCCCAATAGTGTTCTCAACGTTGTCTTGCGAAAATATTTAATATTACTATAAACGACACCCTCTCTTCTCTCGTGGAGACACCAGATTGAATACTTCAATAAGAACAAGGTGAAATTATTACTACTATGGACAGTCGTGTTAAATGTTTTTTATTGCAGACTAGATGACCTGGCAGACTTCGTAGTGCCTCAATCGATAAATAAAAGACAAAAGGAATCAGTCCGATGGGGGGGACATCAAAGAACAAACAAAATTGTAATTTTTATTTAATTCCGAGAATTTTCATATTTATCTACCTTCTTGTTATTTATCTTCTCTGGACTTCCACAAATAATTCAAGACCAA